GATTCCCCACTAAATTTAGAGAATATATATATATATATATATATATATTGTTAAGAAGAAAAAGAAGGGACGTTTTCGTGAGGAGAGAAGAGAAGAAGAAGAGGCAGAGGCAACGAGCTTTGGATGATTGTAACCGCCATTTTCAATCTTCACCTAATGTAAATTAAATCATTGTATATATCTATATTCGTCGTAACATCTTGGTGGAGGTGCGGTCCGTCCATCTACCTCTCCGTCGCCACCAACCTGGAACTCCGGAGCCGACAGCTCCCCGTCTCATCTACCATAATGGCCTCCGGCAGCACGGCATCTGGCAGTACCCCATCGGAGGGCACACCGTCGCAACCCACCTCCCCTCTTATCATTGCCCACCCTCGTGACCCTGGAAACTTCACCGGATCCGGGGATCAAGATGTAGAACAATGGATCCACCTATACGAAAGAATCAGCGTCCATAACAGGTGGGACCCAACTATCATGCTTGCAAACGTCATTTTCTATCTACAAGACACAGCCCGAACCTGGTTCCTCACCCACGAGGAAACTATTACGTCTTGGGACATGTGTAAGGAACAGCTACAACATCTCTTTGGCGATCCTACTGGTCGAAGGCTCTCCGCGAAGCGCAAGCTCGCTTCACGTGTCCAAACGCCCACAGAATCCTACATTACGTATATTCAAGATATTCTTTCCCTTTGTCTGAAGGCTGATCCTGTCATGACTAACGCTGACAAAGTAACTCACATTCTTAAGGGTATTGCCGACGATGCATTCCAGTTGATTGTATTTAAAGATTGTGCCACAGTGGATGCTGTTATACAAGAGTGCAGGCGCTTTGAAGAGGCTAAAAAACGCCGGATCACAGCAAACTTCACACGCCTGCCCAACACGACACCAACTTCCACCTGTGAGGATCCGCCTATATCTGAGAGGCAAATCATCCGGATAGTACGCCGTGAATTGGAAGCGATGCTGCCAACAGAAACCTCTGCTCTCCCTGCTGATTCAGGTAGTGCAGCAGTTCCAGTATCTGCTGTTCAAGCGCTGGTTCAACGAGAAATCCACCGGCTCGTCCCTCCGGAACGACCAGACAGCCGACGTCTGCCTCCTCGTCCTCTCCACCACTTACCATCCACCAATTCTATGAGTCCACAACGTGATCCTAACGCATGGAGGACGTCAGATGACCGACCCGTCTGTTTTCACTGTCATGGAATCGGGCATATTGCTCGGTATTGTCGCCGCCGATTCAACGATGGACCGCGCATTTTCTCATCGACTGCCTACCGTCGGTCCTTTCAACGTCACTCCAGCCCACCAGCCAACCTCTATCCTCATGAAGATCACGAGCCCCGGTTGCCCACACGATACAGCCGTTCCCCCTCCCCCTATCTTCGCCGCTCACCCTCGCCCATGCCCCGTCGCTCAACATCCCCCATCCACGACCACCGCATTTCGGGAAACTAAACCGTGCAGCCTCGCGAAGTGGGGCTGCACCAAAACTCGTGCCCATTAATCCTGTACAGGAAGCTATAAGCAACACACAAAACGAACTTTTAGTTTCAATAGACCACGTTCCTATATTGACGCTTGTAGATACCGGTGCCGCCATCTCCATTATGAGAGAAGATCTTAGACGCCAGCTTCACAAGGTTTTGACGCCCCCGGATTCTAAGCTCCTCCGGGGTGCAGACAGCCGCGCTATCTCACCTCTTGGAATGTGCAGCGCTCAAATTACCATAAACAATGAAACCACTCGCGTTCTCTTCACCGTGATTTCTAATTGCCCCCATGCTATGATTCTAGGATGGGATTTTTTGTCAACGCACGCCGCCCTCATTGATTGCGCCACAGGAACCATTGCCCTCGACATTCCTACCTCGGCCCACACGTCTGAATCAATCCTTTCAAGATTATGCACCACTGGAAGTCATCGGATTCCTCCGCTTGCCGCCATTACCGTCGAACTTCACTCAAATCACTTTGTTGCCGATGGAGACTACGTTCTAACGCCTAACAAGGACATATTTCTCGCGAAACAGCTTGCCCTCCCGCACTGCATTGTTCCAATTTCCAATGGCCGCACCCACGTATGGATAGCTAACTTTAGTTCCAGTACACAAGTATTGCCAAAAGGTGCTTCCTTAGCAACAAGCTCATCGCTAGACACGGCCACCGTCTCCACTATTGCAGCAGACCCTTCAACCCCTTCTAATTCAACCCGCCCAGCTCCCCTGGACCCTTTCAACATACTAACCATGGTAGACTCCACGTTGGACCCTTCCGAACAACAGCGCCTTCAAGATCTTCTATGGGAGTTCCATGACATCTTTGATTTTGACAACCGCCCCCTTGGCCAAACGACCCTTGCTACACACCGCATCAACACCGGCCACGCAACTCCCGTTCACCACAGACCTTACCGAGTGTCAGCCAGCGAACGCCGAGTCATTCAACAAGAAGTTGACACCATGCTTTCGAAGGACATTGTTCGATCTTCCTCTAGCCCCTGGTCATCGCCCGTTGTATTGATTAAGAAAAAAGATGGCTCATGGAGGTTCTGCGTCGATTACCGTCGCTTGAACAAAATCACAAAAAAGGACGCTTACCCACTCCCACGTATTGATGACACGCTTGATTGTTTGCACGGTGCCGAGTACTTTTCCACTATCGACCTCCGCTCGGGGTATTGGCAAATTACAGTTGACGATTCAGATCGAGAAAAAACAGCATTTATTACACCAGATGGCCTCTACGAATTTAAAGTTATGCCATTCGGCCTTTGCAATGCCCCCGCGACATTCGAGAGGATGATGGATCGCCTCCTTAAAGGTTTAAAATGAACAACCTGCCTATGTTATCTCGACGACGTAATTATTTTTTCAAGCACATTTTCCTCTCACCTCACGCGCCTGGCCCAAGTACTCGAACTTTTCCGTAACGCCGGCCTTCAATTAAACTCGTCCAAGTGCCACTTCGGCAGTCGTCAAATAAAAATTTTGGGTCATTTGGTGGATAAAACCGGCGTTCAACCAGACCCTGACAAAGTAGCAGCTGTTCAGCACTTTCCAAGACCGCGCTGCACTAAGGATGTCCGTAGCTTTCTGGGATTGTCTTCATACTTCCGCCGTTTTATACACCACTTCGCACATACTGCCCGCCCACTTAACAACCTTCTGAAAAAAGGCACGCCTTTTTTATGGCAATCAGACCAAGAACGAGCGTTTACGTGCTTAAAGACTGCTCTAACAACCAGCCCCATTCTAGGTCATTTTGATGACTCCGCACCCACTGAGCTACGCACAGATGCCAGTGGCCATGGGATCGGTGCTATTTTGGCTCAAATTCAATCCGGACACAACCGAGTAATTGCTTACGCTAGCCGCACGCTTTCTTCAGCCGAAAAAAATTACACGATCACCGAGCGGGAGTGTCTAGCGGTTGTGTGGGCAATAACTAAATTTCGGCCATACCTGTTTGGCCGCCAGTTTTCTGTAATCACTGACCATCACGCCCTGTGCTGGCTATCGTCTATAAAAGATCCTGTCGGCCGCCTTGGACGATGGGCTCTTCGACTCCAAGAGTACGATTTCACCATAAACTATAAATCAGGGAAGCTCCATCAAGACGCCGACTGCCTATCCCGTTACCCCGTGGACTCTACTACCCACATCAATGAAGACACCGATATTCCCGTTCTTCCTATCTCGAACCTTCTGGACATTGCCCAGGAACAGAACCTCGATCCACTGCTGCACTCTCTCATTTCAGATCTGAGAGGTAACACCAATACACCCTCTTCAAGTCTCTACTCTCTCCAAAATGGCGTTCTCTATCGACAAAATTTTCGACCCGACGGTTGTTCTTGGCTTCTGGTCATACCCAAGCACTTACAAACGTCTATTCTTGCCGAGCTGCATGACGCACCATCATCCGGTCACCTGGGCGTGGTCAGAACCTACGCCCGAGCGAAGCAACGATTTTACTGGACAAATATGTACAGAACAGTGAAGCGATACGTCACCTCGTGTGACTCCTGCCAGCGCCGAAAAACACCCTCCTCCCGTCCTCCAGGATTTCTACAACCTCTGAATCCTCCTGAACAGCCCTTTCACCGCGTAGGAGTTGACCTTCTTGGTCCCTTCCCTACTTCCTCAATTGGTAATCGCTGGATAGCGGTCGCGATCGATCACACCACACGCTACGCAGTCACAAGGCCCCTCCTGACCGGAACGGCAGTTGACGTCGCCCAATTCCTGCTCGAAGACATCATCCTCAAGCACGGAGCACCTCGGGAACTTTTGTCCGACCGTGGACGGCCCTTCATATCTCGCGTCGTAAGTGAAATCTTGAACCTCTGCTCCATTCTTCACAAAAAAAACGACAGCCTACCATCCACAGACGAACGGCCTCGTAGAACGCCTTAATCGGACCCTTGCCGACATGCTCGCAATGTACGTTACCCACGAGCACAAAAATTGGGACGTTGCACTCCCTTACGTAACTTTCGCATATAATTCCTCTCCTCATAACACAACCGGCTACTCTCCCTTCTATCTTCTTTTCGGTCATGAACCGCTCCTCATGTTGGACTCACTGCTTCCGCTACACCCCGAAGCCTCACTTTCCGACTATGCATCGGACGCCATAGGCCGTGCTGAAGAGGCACGACAACTTGCGCGCCTGCGAACTCTTGATTCTCAGGAACGGCAATGCGCCCGTTATGACAGCGCCCACACTTTCGTCGCCTATTCACCAGGTGACCTGGTTCTGATCTGGACCCCACAGCGACAAGTCGGCCTTGCTCAGAAGCTACTACCTCGATATCGCGGTCCTTATAGGATCCTCAACCGAACAAGTGACGTCAATTATACAGTGGAACCCGTCGAACCTCCCCAAAATAACCGCCATCGTCAAGTACAAACAGTTCACGTCCTCCGGCTCAAACCATACATCACCTATTCAAACGGCGGGACGCCGTTTTTACCCGAGGGGGAGTGATGTTAAGAAGAAAAAGAAGGGACGTTTTCGTGAGGAGAGAAGAGAAGAAGAAGAGGCAGAGGCAACGAGCTTTGGATGATTGTAACCGCCATTTTCAATCTTCACCTAATGTAAATTAAATCATTGTATATATCTATATTCGTCGTAACAATATATATATATATATATATTTTTTTTTTTTTTTTTGACGTCGTTTTTGTGTTTTGTTGGGTAAATGATAATGCTTTTTCCTCACAGCCCTGTCTCCACCATCCGAGGATTCGGCTACCACGTCAGCCGATTCGCCTGGTTTCGAGCCTCACCTTGGCGACAACCTTCAAGATGGCGTTTTGGAGTCCACTGTCGACAGCGCAGAATCCGCAGCCGCATCCAAAGCCACGTCTCGAAACGCGGCCAGGGAGCGCAGTCGGGTCCGGAGCCTGCGCAGTGCTTTCCAGGCCCTTCAGATGTCATTGCCGTCAGTGCCGCCGGACACCAAGCTGTCCAAGCTGGACGTGCTTGTGCTGGCCTCCAATTACATCGCTCACCTGGGGGCGCTGCTATCCGGGAACAACCAGGAAAATGCTGAAGCGGTGAGTGAGCCTTCCGTCCTGCCTTTCTAGAGAGGTCCACAATGTACCTTTTCAGAAGTTATCCGATCACGTGGTTTAAACCCCGTGCTATAGTATGTGCAGACTCTCCAAAATGCTCCAGGTCGCTTGATGGCGCTTCAAGTGCCCCGCACAATTACATAAAGTTGCAATTGGTTTTCATCTCATCAGTATCATAAAGCAGAGTATTACTGTTGTAGATTTATGACCCAATCTTGTGGCATCGGTATAAAGCATATATATATTGTCAAAGGCATGTGATTAGATTGGTGATGCATGGGCCCCTGTTCTCCAGAGCCATTATCCCCAATACAGATATAAAATTGTCTCTGGCCAGACCGGAGGGAACGTGTCTTTATGGCATGAGGCGGTCAACAGCTCCCAAATGCTTTTCGATATTGCGAAGAAGAAAAAAAAAAAATACCGCTGAGTTTACTCCCTTCCTCGAAAGGCTCGCTTACTGGCAGTTTACTCGCTTTCTCTAAAGGGAGTGAACCGCCAGTTTTCTTCCGGAGGAGTGTTCCGGGATAAGATGTCACGTCCTCCAGCGCTCCAGAAAATTCTGGTATGCCATATGATAGCCCCCAGAAAGTCGGATTACCTGAGTTACTCCCGAACGTGACCTTGTAAGATTTTAGAAGGTTTCGTTCGAAACCACGTGTATATCACACTGGTTCCACAGTCAACGGGTCATCTTGCTGCTTTCAGTGCTTGCAGGAGCAGGTTCCTGCCTTGGAGTCAGCCAGCAGCAGAAGCTACCTCCACCCGGTCAAGGTAAATATCGACATCGTCGCACCTAAAGGGAGTAGCTTCCGCTGCGATGAAGAGGAATTGGTAGCATCTGCACACGGTTGCAACTTTCTTTCGCATCACACCATCGTCCAGGATTTCCACCACTGTCGATACATCATTTCGTGAAAACTTTCTGGGCGTCCCGCCATGGGCGGTGGCGCTGTGCACTCACACTGCCTAGCGTAACTAGTAAACAGTGTTGGGCAAAGTACACCTAAAATGTACTTGAAGTAAAGTACAAAGTAAGTGAGAGGATATATGTACTTCAAGTAAAGTAGTAAGTAGACAGGGCACAATGTACTTGAAGTTAAGTACTATAAATGCAATGTATTTTCAAAGTGAAGTACACGTACTAATCATTCATGATGTTCTTCCAATCCGCTATACATTTTTTTTAATTGGTATGTAAAGTTTTGCGCGGATAACAGTTTGATCATCCGCATTTGATCTGTATCCGCAAAGTTTTGAAGTAATTGTATCAGCATCCGATCCGCATCCGCAGACTTCCTATTCGCATCTGAATCGCATCCGCAAAATTCGGAAAAACATTTGACCCTTGATCCGCACATTCAATTTATATCATAAAATCAAGCATAAATCAAAATTTAAAAGAAGCATCTGGATGGTATTTTATAAGCCGTCTGATAACCTTTGTACAAAGAAATCTTCGTGACAGAATTACGGTGAAGGTCATTTTATCGTATTCTTTTTTATCGTATTTATAAAATAAGCGATCATCCTTCCAGAGATACTTCGCATCGCTTGAAAGAAGATCGCAGTTATGAGATTGTCTTTTTGAGAGTACATGACACTAAAACACTCTGTCCAGAATATGCGCTCAAAAGGAAAGAAATTGTAACATTTATTTTCCTTTTTGCTTTGTAAACCCCACTTCGAGCAACGCATATTTTATACACATAAAAATTAACAAAGGACAAACTATTGTGTCCTTTTATTTAGGCCAGACAATAAAAAAGAGGGAGAGGAAGGGTGTTCACTCACCGCAGCAAAGTACTCGTGTATATATAGTAAGGCGCGAGTTCACCACTGAGAAAATATCACAATGGCAACACCTCCCATTGGTTCAGTTTTAAACACGAACCCTCACCTGCATGCTCGAAAGCATATACTTAAAAAACAATTCAGTGCCAACTGTCCAGAAAAAGAAAATGCACACGCACGCAACGTTTCACTTGTCAAAGTTGCTGTGTAGAAGAAACTGAATTGTCGTCAACATGAACGAATTCAGACTGGTTTGTCTCTCTACAATTAATACCCACTACTGTGAAGTCTCTCTCCGTTGATGCACTTGATGCTGGGATGGCATGCAAAAACTGTGCTGCAAGAATGACGTGCGGAAGCTCGTACTGGCGTAAGTTTTACCACGCCAGAGGATCGAGTTCAGTCTCCTCGATCTACTGCGAAGAAGCCACTTGCAGGTTTCTTCTACATTCTTGTGGCTCGTACGTTTTGGGTTTTCTTTGTTCCAAGAACGTTTTCTGCTCTTTTCCTGCTAAACAAGAACATGCTTTCCCGGGACGACTGATGCTCCTGCATTCTTTCCTTTTCTTAGAAACAGCATTTTTGGTGAGATAGAGCGTTCTAAAGCGATATTTGGTGAGAATCAAGTCTTTCTTGACGCCAGTTTACTGCGGATATCCGCGGATATGCAGGACTCTACTGACATGCATTGCCCCAAGAGGTAATGGTGGTGCATCAGTTATTTCAGGAAATAGCGGCGAAATTTGGATGAAGTCAAGTGGCCACAGAGTAGTTCTTTTACTCTCGCTTACAAGCTATTCAACACAATCAACTTAAAAGGCCTAATTAGTTGTACCGGGTTTATAGTCAACATTACTTCACTCAGAAAAATGACCGGATGACGTCTCGAAAGACGATTGTGTATTCTCACATGACTATACGCCAATATATTTTGTTAAAGGTTGGTGAACTCTTATACTTGACCTCAGGGAGTTGTGTACAGTACTGGGAAAGCCAAGGACAGGAGTGCGTGGTTCTTGAAAGAGCTAAGTTTCATCGAGACCAAATTGGAGCGATGTACTTTGAAATCGGGAGTTGTACTTTCCTCGGAAAATACAAAGAAAAATACTTTAAGTAAAGTACAAGTACATACTAAGAGAATGTACTTCAAGTAAAGTACAAGTTTTCTAAATCTACTTGAAAGTAGTACTTTAAGTACAGCGTACTTAAAGTACTTTCCAACACTGCTAGTAAATGACACATACAGTTACTCTGGCACTACTCACAAAATGCACAATGACTCGGGACAAATGCGCCTGTCCCACGCAATGCGCAATGACCCCTGTTTACAGAGGAACGCTGTCGTGTCATATTTTTTCCGGCCTGGATCAGAAAGGATCGCCGTCAGGTTTCCCGAGTTTGTTCGTTGCCTCACAGCCGTTTCTAACGCATCACAGAAAAAAAAAAAATCAACAAAACATGTAGGAGCTATGTTAACAGCTCCCTTTCGTGAGTTGATCGCTGGAGATACGGCTCAACGCGATCAGGCCACGTGAAGTAGAAATAAGCTTCGATGGCTTTGTCCCTGGGATATGGGCTCCCGTCAATGACAGCGTTCAGCGTGCCCTTGTTCGAAGTTGTCCAATCCCAGCCAATTCAGCGCCTTGAAAGTATCACGTGACCATACGCGCCCTCTCTTGAAGGTCATGTGGATGGTCACGCGGTAAGACATTCCATTGACTTTGATGGCTCGTAGCATCCTCAGCGGCTCATCGTAAGGTGAACCGAATTATAATCGCTCCAAAATTGCGAAAAAAAAAAAGAAAGAAAAGTCGAGCGGTCGTAGCTTGATCGATCACTTGAACGGTATACAAGGAGGTCACAAAAACGCATTTCTGAAAGTTTTGGTATGGTTGCGTAAAGCAAAGTAATTGTTGTGCGTATCTACAGACAAGGGGGGAGGGGGGGGGTTAGTCAGCCCCATGAGCGCCTGGTGTGTCTCCTCCGTATAGATGAGAAAAATGTAGACAGTGCAGTATCCACTGCTAGCCTGAAGTCATTAACGTGCATCGCGCGGTAGTGATACAGACCGCACGCCGGTGTTTACGCTGCTCATCCAGAAAAAAAAAAAAGGAATGCAGGGCGGTTATGGCTGCTCCTCGACAACTGTCATTCACAAATTTAAAGATTCAATGGTGACTCAACCCATGGAAACCAAAGGGCGCCATCTTTGTCTCGCGGCCTGATTGAAAGCGCAATAAGCCGAAATCTTCACCGATACTTTCCGAAGCCACCTGTTCTCGGTGATGATGATAATGATGATATAATTAAACGCTCTATATGGCGCAAAATGCTACACGCCAAAGTCCTCTAAACCTGTTATCGGTGAAGACACTAGTGTGCATGCATGCCTTGCTATACGCGGCAGACGTCGAGTCACATCTTCGTAAGAACACCAACCTTCCACTAACCAGAGCCCAGACCCCGGCGTTCTAACCAATGACCTTTCGCAGAAAAAGAACAATAACTAACGATGTATATACTTCGTCGTGCCCTTCTATTCGTCCACGGCCGCCATGGCCATCGCATCGATCCCGTTCTGTCGTGTCGGCCCTCGGTCAAGACGCCGCACCGTGTCCCACATGTTGGGCCGCGCTGATCACCCGCGGGCCACTTGTTCGATATTTCAATGGGCCAGATCTCGAGGCGCCGGGGACTTCCTGTCACGCAGTATTGACCCAAAGAGCGCGGGATGGGCCGCTCGCGTGACACGCATGCATGCACGCGTGCATGCATGCCTGCTGCAGGCACCAGGGAGCCAGTCCGGAAACAGGGAATTGCGAGTTTCTGAGCCCCATAAACAGATCGCCAATCCATACGCGCGTCTCGCGCGCACGTATAACATTATGTCGCCGTCCCATTGTTTATGGGGTGTACGCATTTGCAGCGCGTGTGTTAAGCGCGTCTGCTACTCGGCCAAGTGACTCTTTAGGGCTGCGGGTCGGATAGAGGATAAAGGTTAAGAACATATATAAGCCCGCAGAGTTGGAGCCTTTGCGGCAGAGCTGGAGGTGTGTCTCTCGTATACACGGCTGGTTTCCGGTAACGCACGCATGTATAACAGAAGAGTGTCACACGGGCGCTGCGTCAGCGGTCGGCCGGGGCTCGATCGGTGAGAACACGGGTCCGAGGCGAACGCTGACGAAGCACTCCTGTGTGAGCCAGCGGGCTCACACATGGTGGGAGAGTGTGCAGAAGGCATGGGGAAACGGGGCAAGCAGGTATATCTTGGGACGAAACGGAGAGAAGCGAAATCGCAGGGTCAAAGCTGTGGTGCCCTACCACTAGAGACGCGGACTACGCGTTCCACTCCCGCCGGAGCGCTATGCGGAGGGAAGGGTAGGGAGCGTATACCCCCCCTCCCTCCTCCTCCCTCGTGATCCTGCCTGCTACTCCTCCTCCTCCTCCACCCCCTCCTTCTCCTTCACCTCATCCTTCAACCTCCTCCCTTCGCCTCCTCGTCCACCTTCCTCCTGCTGCTGTCCTCCTTGCCGCCCAAGCCGGAAACGGCCGCGTAAGAGCTCAAGCCGTCACGTGACCCCCGGACCTGGGGGGTCACGTGACCTTACGGTTACGCCGACGGCGACGGCGACGCCACTCAAGCCGGAAACGGGCGCCTGAGGGCTGCGCTCTAATAGTGAGTAGATGTCAATGCTAGATGCTTTGAGGTCTACCCACTATTTTGTTTTCAATCAGCCAATAAGAGTTCGGCGTTCTTCTGACGTCACCGCAACTCCTGCGGAAGAAGCAGACGACTTGCTTTCCGAATATCTTTGGCAGGAATTTGTTTCAGAGACGCTAAGCACGACGACGACGACGACGTACACGCGCCGTTCAGGTGCCAAATGCTACGCGTTCATCTGTGCAACATCACCGCGAAGCAACACAAAATACATTATTTTGTTACCACTGCCTTTGCCGCAATAGATCGAAAAAGGGGAAAATCTTATCGAAATAGGCCTATGTGACATGTTTCAGAGCTGCTTTATTGAATGGAATACGAAATGTGCGGCGTGCATGTCAACTGCGAGCAACATTTTTCATCTGAGCGAGCGTCCGGAGCTGTGCTACTTACATGAATCATCAGTATATATGTCAGGGGAAATTTTCCGTCGACGCCCTTATAACGCTCAGAAACGGGGGATCGATGGCCGAGTGGAGCGAAAGTTCGCGCCGCAGAACACCCAGCTTCAATCGATTGAAGCTGAATGTTCTGCTTGTTGCACGGGGGTTGCGATGATGTCAGAACACCGAGCTCTTATTGGCTGACTGAAAAAATAAAATATAATAAAAAGTTAGTGGGTAGATCTTAAGGCATCTAACATTGAGGTCTGCCCCCCACTACCCGTTCAAACAAAGCCAATCATAGCTCGCCGTCGTTCTTACTTCACCCCAACCCTTCCGCAAGAAGCAGACGACTTGCTCTCCGCGCCCCAACCCGTTTCGATCTGAATGAGCATCGTATACCAGCGTGCGGTCGTGTATCGCTATCGTGACGCACGTTAAAGGAACCCAGGCAAGCGATCGCACTGCACTGGCCACATTTCTCATCAGCGTGTAACAATGTCGCCAGAAAACTCTGGCAGACCTACCTCTCGCTGTCTAAACATTTAATGACGAATTTAACTTGGACCATGCATATTCTGTTCAGCATATTAACAGGCGGTTTTTACTCTTCACAGAAGTGGCCCATGAGGTCCCGCCTGTACGCCGGAGCGAGTCCCTACGCCGACGACCGGCCCAAGCGTCACAGCTGCAACGACCAATGGCAGGCCAAGAAGTCCAGGAGCTCCAAGCAGGCCAATAAGCGCGGCGCGCTCACGTGACTCCCGCGGCGTGCCGTCAGTAATAGCTCTCTGACGACAAGTCCAGACGCAGGTGACGCTACGAGCTGAGGGGACCAATCGAACATGAGGGGACCCAATACACGGCTCTGAGGGGACCAATCGAACAGCGTCGAAAACCTACCACAATGGTGCTCGTCGTGTTTCTGGACGTGTTCTATCATCACTGGACGAATCATAAACAGAAGAGGCACAGTGACTTACGCTTTTGACGGTGCTTCATTGGGGATTAGCTCGTAGCGTCGGCTGCGAACCGAAGTCATGCTTGCAGTCACCGAGAGTCTAAGAAGCACGGGGCTTGGTCTATTACCGTCACGCTTCTTGCTTACGCGTGAATCGTTCACGGCTATCCTTATCGGCTGATGCCGCGGTCTCACTGACTGCGGAGCGATCGTGAGATGCCCGGGACTTGCCACGCAGAGTGCGCCGAATACGATGACGTCATAGGTTTCTGCCGAAGTATCGCTTGTCCACCTTGTAAATACGCACGAAGAGGAATAAAAATTTCCGCATAAACGATATGAGCTAAATCAGAAATCACTGAGCCGTTTTTTGTTAAAAATCGTGGACAACATAATTTACTCGAGCCACTGGCTAGACGTAACACGCCTTTTGTTTAAGTTTTTGTTTTGGTGGCTTACTTACGGGCAGGGGAGGAGGGGGCCCTGCATCGGATTAAGGACTTAACTCATTAATCAGTGACCTTTAATCGGTTAAACGGTCAAATGTAGAGAATGATAAGTTTGTTAAGGTATACTGCGAAATGATGAATACAACATTATGGATTTGTGGAACATCATTAATCTCTTTAGCCCAAAACTCAAATAAATAAATAAAAAAAATCATGCTGTCAGGAGGAGGACAGGCTGAAGAAATATGTATATGCATCTTTACTGACGCCTTTGATATTTAACTTATATATTTGATTCAAGTACGAGACAGTTGAAGTGGTGTGATTGGTCTAAACCAGGGACTCAAACCCTAACCGTAACCGAAACCGAAAACCGTTTAGGAACGAAATTTTTTCTGTAACCGTAACCGGAACGAAACCGTTATTTGATATTTATAAAAACCGTAACCGGAACCGGAACCGTAAATTATTCACCGGTAACCGGTTTTAACCAATATTAACCGAAAAATAAACTGTTCGTTTTTCTGAAGTATGACCTGGAGGAGGGATCTTAAATTGTTGTGGCCATTTGACAGAGTTACTGTCAGCGAGTGGTGCATCTGGTTACATATTTCCATTCAATCTGACTTTAGGAATAAGAATACTCAGATTGAATTAGGGGTCGAGTTTATAATTAAAAAAATTCTATATTTCTAAATCTGCCACACTCCTATATCGCTACATGTATTCAGTACGTGTCGCTTTCAGTGTATTAACTAATAAGTTCGAATTCTCAGATGTCCATCCAACTCGGTTCTATCAAAACCACCGATGTTCCTGACATGCAGTAGCCAGTATAAAGAAACGAGGTAAATTTCCCATCATGCAGAGCTGGCGGAAAAGAAAACCTGGGCCCGTTTGCTCGAAGCGCTAACCGCGGCTAAAGTTAGCAGCAGTACTTAGGAGAGGGAGTTTGAAATCACGTGACTGGGGGCTGGGATGCCGGGAAGCATGGCGGCGCCCCGGTGCGTGAGCGCCGCTCGCTTTGTAACTAATATGTCGTTGTAGCTGCACTATCGGGCGCGTTAGTCAGCAACGAATGGTGCAGGAGGCTTTCGCTTTGCCTTACCTCGCTTAAATCGCAAAGCACGAGCAATGGCTTCGCGGCATTTGTTGCATAGTCTTTCGATTCTGGCCTTTCTAAGCCTAAATGAACGCGATAATTGTCGGCATGGCAACGTCTTTGGAAAGCGGATTGCCTTGACTCAATCGACCGAATATTAATAGTACACAAAAGAAGACCAGCGTCCCGCCCCGACAGACCTTTTTCTAAATTACCCAAGCATCGAGAAGAACGCTGGAAGTGTAATTCTATGGTCCGCGCTCGCTGTCCTTCCTCTTATAAAAGATTCGAAGTAAATAATCATTATAAGACTTGGACGAACGCGCGTGCAAGGCAAAATTTGTTTTAGACTTTTTCCTTTAGAACGATAGGCCCGTAGCTCACAAGTTTTGAGCAGCGCTGCAGGCGACCAAAATAGAATATTTGGCTCGCGTTTCGAACTTGCATCAATACGCTTCCCCACTAGAGTTTTTTCTACTCAGTTCCATTCTAAGTTCCAGCGTAGCAGAGGCTACAAGAGCGAGCTGCGAGCTTTCCGCGTCCCTGCCAAGCACGCGCGCTCGTGCAGTGCGAGCATCGTTCAGGATGACGCGCTTTTCCGAGTAGCTTCGGCTTCACTATCACGTAAAGTGAAATATACGTGCTCGCGGAAGCTGTGAAAGAAAGGAAATATGAAAGGAATGTTTAATGGAACGCTGCGGCCGCAAGCAGCATAATTCTGTTCTTTTTTTTTTAACTTTCTTTAGACGTTTTGTTACCGCACATCTACAGATGCTGACAGAGGCTTGTATTCGAACGTGGCACGTGCAAAATCTAACGTTACAGCGCCACACGGATGATGCAGCCAGCAAAACTTGGTCGCGTCTTGCGTAAGTCTTCCGGACGCGCTCGCGCCCCCTGCCCAGAGTAACGGGTATATTACTACTGCATACGCCAGCACGCGCAATGCCTGCAACTACACTCGTAGCATGCACCTCGGTACTTGGGAAATTTGTGTGCTATCAATACATGGCCGATTGAGTCAAGGCAATCCACTTTCCAAAGACGTTTCCATGCATGCCGACAATTAGCGTGTTCATTTAGGCTTAAGAATGGCCAGAATCGAAATACTATCTAAAAAATGCGGCGAGGTCATTGCTCATGCTTTGCGATTTAAGTGAGGTAAGGCAAAGCGAAAGCCTCCTGCACCATTAGTTACTGACTAACGCGCGCGATATTGCAGCTACAACGACATATTAGTTCCGAAGCGAGCGGCGCTCACTTTGCGGGGCACCACCATGTTTTCCCGCATCCCTACCGATCCCTGTCACATGATCTCAGAATCCCTCTCCTAGGTACTGCGGCTAACTTTAGCCGCGGTTAGCGCTTCGAGCAAACGGGCCCTAAAGCCCCTGTATCCTGGGAAAAGTGGCGCCTTCATTGTTGTGGAAACGCGCGAGACACGTTCAGCGCGCCACTTCTGGAAAGAACATGGTGTCTGAAATCTAGCTCAGTGCTGCGCTGTGCCGCCTTGACCTTCCCAAGGGATGCACGTTGCACGTGCCTCGTGCATCGACGCACTTTGCGCTACTTTTGAAACATGAAGGAGCTTTAATGGGCCCTGCTGTTCATTAATAATGTTTATGTTGTTCATTTAGTGTGAAACGTGTCGCGAGTGACGATTTTGAAACAACACAGAAAGAAAAAAAAAAAAAGTCAGGGGTTTGACATTGGCGTTTTGTATTATATATACAATATATATATATATATATATATGCTCGGGCTGAAAGTGGTGGAAGGAGCGAGGAAACGTCAGAAGGGTGTCCGAGTTTTTTTCTTTTCCTTCCCGCGCCGAGACCCTTCTTCAAACCGAGTGGCACCCGCCGCCTAAAGCCCCTTCATGTTTCAAAAGTAGCGCAATGTTCGTCGATGCACAAGGCACGTGCAACGTGCAGCCCTTGGGAAGATCATGGCGGCACAGCGCAACACTTAGCTATTTCAGACGGCATGAATTTCCCAGAAGTAGCGCGTCGCACGTGCCTCGAGCATTTAACAACAATGAACGGCGCCACTTTTCCCAGGATAGAGGGGCTTTACCGTCGCCGGCACTGCCACGCCTCTCAGCTTCTCAACATGACAAAAGAAAAAGCCAGGGAGAAGGATGCCTCCTCGTCAAACGCGCCAACGCGCCACCCTCGTCCGACAGACATGGGATGCAATTTCTGCCTCCTTCGCCTGAACCTTGGGAGCTGCCCTGCTCCCAATCGTCGATGGCCTGGCCAATCTCGACCCACACGGCCAGCAGTCTCAACAGTCTCTCTCGCAAAACTGTGAACGCGAGCTATTCGAATGTCGGCACGGTAAGCTCGAACATCCACAGACGCGCCGAGAGATCGCTTCCAGCATCGCCGGAGGCCTCCCCCTGCCACCGCCGGAGGTATGGCTTCTACGAGAATCATTTCTACCAGAGCCACCAGCGCAATCCAACTACCTCTGATAGAGCCCCCACCACCCATGCCGGAGCGAGGGTCCGTCATGCCTACGACATTCTGAGCGACCTCGCCCAGGACACCATAAGTTTCTCCACGAGAGATGTCCATGAGATCAGGCATCTCCCCCGCCATCGGTTCTACTGGGATGACATGCTCCCCGAACACCAGCACCTCATTTTCGATAAACTGGAACTCTTCCACGTCGTCGCGAGAGGGAACTGTAGGACGGCAGTCCTATCCCAGACGTCGAGGATTCGAGTCTGAGGTTTTCAGAGAGCTCCCCGACCAGCTACCCAACCAGCCTCGACGCGGACGCCACACGCCTCGTGCTCCCGCGCACACCAGCTACCGCCCAGACACCAAGTCGAAGAGGCCCCCTAATCGTGAGTCCGGCAGCTACGCTGAGTCTTCGAAACCCACCAGTGCCGTCATCGACGGCACAGTCGTCTCCTCGACGCTCCTGTGCGTTTTTCCTGTCGAGGACATTCTCGTCCATGCTCTTTGCTAGGCTGGCGTCTCGGCCGACCGTGCCCGAGCTTGATCTTGGATCGAAGAAAACGACCCAATGGATCCCGACTCGACAACCACCGCCACCGAGCGAATCCTGGAGTGGCTCAGGAGGACCGACAGTCATTGAGCCCCACGCCGATAACGGCTCCTTCGACACGTACGATGACAAGGAGGAAAACCACACCAACACAAAGGAACACACTACAGACAAACAAAGCGTCGTCGAAGACTCTCAGTCGGACCTGGGTAGCACTGCCTACAAGTCAAAAGCGACGGGACCTACACCGCCAGTCCACTCGACCCAGCAGGCACCTGA